TATGTTTATGTAACTCATCATCGGAGCGGACATTTGCAATAATATTCCACAAGCGCAGATTTTCCAAACCTTACTCGTCTCAGGAAAGCAGTGGTCTTTGATCTGTATTTTGACAAGCCAAAACCCCTCAAAAATCAAAAAGATAGGCATGAAGCGTAAAAGCTGCAAATATCCTTATAAGTCTTTTCAGATCTTATCTGCCTGGGTAGCGCAATTTTCATTTACGGGAAACATTATGAGCTTGAATTTCTTTGCAATTGTGAACCTAAAGTGTTCTCAAAACTTTGCTGCAACCTTTCATAAAGTTGGTGGTTTTTGCGATACTGACCAGTTTTCATAAAAACTTGCGCATATCACTTTGTTGCAAAGACTTTTGCCGAAATTTTTATCACCCAGCCCTCCCTGCCCAAATCTGGCACTTGCATAGAGCACCTCAATGATTGTAATACACTGTTTGGAACGTACCTGGCCAAAAATACTTCCAATTCAACTTTTTACGCGCTTTTTGCTTCATTGTGCTCATCAAACCTCGAAACCATCATTTCATTAAAAATCACGTTTTTTTATGGTTTCCTCGATCTTCTTTTGTTTGGACCTTAACGATTTTTTATTTAGTTGAAATACAACCATTATAGCCTTCCTCTCTTATTAAAATGCTTTTTACGAAGAAGGAGACATATTTCATCGAAAACTTTGCACACCATCGCCACCTCTTATTCATTTCGAGAAAGCATACGTTGGAAGACAAGAGATCCAGTTCTTCTCGTCAAGAAATTCAGCTCCAAAATTGTATGTTTTATCTTCAAAACCTTACAAGCGTGAAAAATACGCAAATTTTCTGTTACCAACATAATGAGAGTTAAAGAGTTGTGCTGACATACACATCAAAATAAGATAAGACTCTCAAAAAAATTCGTAAAATTATTTCAAGACAAAATTAGAAGATTGTCTGCAGTAAATTAGCGACCTGGAAATCTTTGTACGCAAGCTACTGAACAAGTTTTATTTTATAAAGAAAGTTTAGACTTCGAACTTTAGTAGTAATAGAACAAATTAAATAACGCACTTTTTCGCCTCTTTAAGGAAGTTGGAAAAGCTGGTTACTCTCAGATTTTATGGAGTATTTCGAAGCACGGAAATTTTTTTTTGTAAATTTAGTGGCCTCTAGGTTTAGCGAACACATATAGCAATAATCGAGTCCGCAACTGAAGTACTTGAAGCCAGAAAGTTTTCAAACACCCTATATATTCACTTTAGCAAATATGTAAGTATTGAAAGTTAATAAGTAATGCCATAGTGAGAAGTGAATTGACAAAACATATTTCCATTTCTTCTATGAGAACGACTAGATAAACAAAATGCTGTTTACTATTATATTGTTCTTGAACTGACAAATATCTGCTGTCATGGGAAACAACTACGAGCCCAAGACTTGCAGCGCCTCATTGCGCTAAGCAAGTCTTCCATCTCACGCAGTTGACAGATTGGTATCATAGTTGCGTGGGACGTCGAAACATACTTAACGGACTAGATCCCGCTCATGGCAGTAACGTTTATAGAAAAGAAACAGATTTGTAGCCCATGTGTTACGAAGTCAAGAACAGAAACTGTATTAGGTCGTTCCAGAAGTGTTTTCTTTTCTTCAGTTGCCAAATTTATCAACATAATAACCAAATTAGATGTGTAAAGCAACACTACTTCCTTTTTCTGGCAGCTCTCCTTGAGCTGCAGCTCCGAACACCGAGATAAACATTTTCACTATTTCTTGACTGCTGCGATCCTACTAAAAAAAAATAAGATACTTATTATGGACTTCCGGAGAATCAGATAGCTCCCATCTACTCGAAACTTACGTAACAACATCTTTCCTTCCTCAGCTAGTCCAATATAATTTTTGAAACCAAGCTCGACTATCTTGAATATAAATCTGGCGATATATTAGACTTTGGTTTCTGGAATTACAAAATTTTACCAGCATATCACTTCAAATTACTTAACCTAACTATTACTCGGCCCCTCCAGAAAATTCTTAGTGTTGTTAATATTAAATACAACATACAGTAGAAAACATAATATTTTCATCTTCCTTTTTCCCTTTACGGTTTTCTCACAGGATCGAGTGGATCGATGGGAGCAAAAAACTTCAAAATGAGGAAAAATTGCTATCATCTGTAATGTGTTCGTGAAGATTTAGATGGAAAACGAGTGTGAAGATATCATTTACAGTCTCGAAAAAAAAACTTTACTAGATAAAGGAAAGCTGCATTGAACGCGACTTGGAGGCGTGTAGTGTGAGATTTGCGTGGGTGGCAATCATAGAGATTCGATACACCAACCCTGAGGCAAAAACCCCAAATCTAATAGAGCTATATTCAAGCTATCTTCTCTCGAAGAACCCTCTATTCTCCGGAGACCAGGCCGTTAGGCAGCGACGGCATTTGCATTTGTGAGCATGGAAGCGGTGTCGCATGCTTAATGCAGTGAAATGAATGCGACACTAATATATTCGCTGTCGTTTCAGAAATCATGTGAAACACTACTGTTTAGCTTTTCTTGTATGTATACTACTAAGAGACTACTCCTTCAATGTAAAACTTATCTCAAACAAGGATAACTATCACTCTTTGCATTTATGCCTCACAGTTCGCCATCTTATTGTAAGACTTTTCGCGAAATAATGCAATGACTTCTAATTGCTTCATTTTCTGGCCTGTTCACATTTGAGTTTGAGCATCAAAAAATAATGCGCCCATAAATCTATCTCACCAAGGCTGTTTTAGTTGGTAGCTATTTATAAACAGCTGCGGTCTCACTTTATTGTCACAAGTTTCCAAAACATATCGTTTATGCAGAAACATCATATGAAAAAGCTAGCTATCAGATAACAACACTATTACTAAAAAACCCTAGAAAAGGTGCTTCGAAGCATTTTCGAAAGAAAAAAAATTAAAGCAAAGGTTGGATGTCTCAATCTAATTTGTACTGAAAAATTACCATCTGTATACCGTCGAGAAACCAAGTATAGAGGGTGCGCCAAAATTATCAGTGCCAACTTGACAAACAGTGCCACAAGGAAACCACTGGGAAAATACAAGCTCAAATTTATATCATAGAAGGCACTAATCAATCTCTAAAAATACCTTTTACAGAACTAAAAAAGACCTTTTTTCATGAGCGTGAGAATCAAAACAATCAGGCAAGCATTTAGAGAGAAGCAAAAATGGAATTTGTATACATTCATAATTTGCTCTGTAACTGTAGGAACTCAAAGCCTTTCTGTTAGATCCTTCATTGACTTTGTAGAGCACAATTTGCATTTTTACATAGGCCTAGTTGAATTTACATAATTTGTTCCTTCACGAAATAAGAAAGAGCGGTGAGCAATGACTTTATGTTCAAAATCGATTATGAGACTTTCCAGATAAAAAAAAATTTTGTTTATGAGACATGCACAAATCATGACCTATTGATTAGAACGGCTTTGAATTTGATTTATAAGACATTTTCTGACCCCAAGGCGCACACAGGAAAGCCGAAACTAAAGGCCGAAAATACATCACCTATCGGTATGCTCCCTTTCAACAAAGTTTTTGAAAAAGCAAAAATTCTCTGAATTGAATTACAAACCTCCATACCAGTATTAGAGACGAAGGCTTGCTCTACTCTTAAACTCAATTACAAAGCAAGAGGAAAATTTTTCAAAAAGATATTTTATGAATTTTCAAAATCATGCTTGCGTACGGAGTACACTTCAGTTGGCGAAAAAGTACAGATTTTTTCAAAAGGTAAAGCAGCAAATTCTGATTTGACTATTGCATTACGATCATGATGGTTGGTGAAAACGCATACTTGATCCGTCCTCAAGCACGTCTAGTATCCTTCTCGCACCCAAGGAAACGCGCCGGTAATTTTGCATCCTGTACACATCTTACGGGAAGGATCCTTGGTCGAAGTGGCCTTTTCAGATGTCATGCAAATATTCTTGAAGGGCATCGAACGCTGATTCTAAATCTGTCCTTCCCATCAGCGGAGCGCCTTTGGGTAAGGAGTCATGAAAGTTTTTAAGGCGGAAATCTGAACGCGTGGGAGGAAGGAACTCAATGGGAGTTCCCCGTGAGCTTGAATGGAACGGCATTGCCTGTCAAATCACTTCCGTGGGGAGATTAACTTCTAGATTAACTTCTTCTTATAGCCTTACTCAACACTAGTCCATTTGTGAGTTGCACAAGGTGTTAAGTCAATCTAAACCTCGTCTTGCGTTTAAATTTTTGGTTCTCCGAACGCTCATAAATTCTTATTCAGAGGTGCTCCGCAGATAAGGAAGACGGATTTGGAATCATCGTTCGATTCCCTTCAAAGATATTTGCAACTCTTCATGAAAGGCCACTTCGACCAATGATCCTTCCCTCATTAGTCAAAACACAGATTACTGACAAAGAAGAAGCCCCTATATCAAAAATGCCATACTGTAATTATAAGCATTATCATAAATCGAAATTTACTAGGATTGGTATTACCATTTCAACTTTCATGCTAAGGTCCATAAAGAGATGTTGAAGAAAGAGAGATTTCTAGGTACACCACATTTTCGAAAGTACTTCAGCTCTGCCCCGCTCAGGGAATCGTCTTGCATTAAATGAATTCTCCACACCTGCTTACCTAGTAACCACATAAAAACAGTTGTTGAGCGAAATAAAATTCAGTTTCAAAGTTGACTTCCAGACAGTCCTAACAATGAATATTTTATCTTCCGAGAGGCCAGCTTAGCGAGAGATATTAGTTCTTCAACGACTCTTATTCACAGATGACTGAGGTTCAAACTACTCTCGCAATCGAACGCATACGTAAGTTCTACCTGGCACAAGAACATTAGCAAACAATGCTCGAGTGCCTGCTATCGCCGCTTTGCAGCAAAACAAACACGAATGATATCAGTGACTTATTGCATGTGATAAGTATACCGATTCCCAAATAAATGATTGTACTTGTTTCATGCACACTTGTGGCATAGTAATAATTTTATTATCTCGGGCATCATAACAACTCGTCTTTGACCATTATTGGAACATTCAATTCAGAACTATCACAAGAAGCGTAAATAATACAGCTACGCGGAGATGCAATCATAAGAGACTGATCTGGAGCACAATACCCATCTACATGATCATGAAAATGATAACACAATTTTCCATATTATTTTCAAAGCAAATTCCATGTGATGAGAAAAGTAAGGATCATGCACCGTTTTTTCAATGATTATAACAACTGTTGCTAGATTATTTTGAAATCACTTTGGATTAAACTATGTGGAAGGAAAATATGCATGTCAAACATTTCAACACACAGATGCGAACACAAGAGATAAGTTCTCAGAGACAAGAAATCGTACCGCATCCATTCGGATAAAGGAACTCGCGGTGAGTAACCGGTTTTGCACGCGGACGGTCGGTACCGCCGGGAGAAGAACAACACAAAACATTCAAACACAAAATCAAGAGCGCAAGGCACTCGGTAACCTGAGTTTGGCGGAGGTTCATATTTACATACGAGTGAGTATCTCGCCGGGCTCTGCACCCGAAGCAGGAAAGACAATGTGACTGAGAGAAGCAGCAACTATGGAGAATTGAGATTATTGCGGGCGCATGGGAAAACCTTCCTGCTGCAGCCTTCGCATCATGTCCGAGCTGGCCATGAGGCCGTTGGCCTGCGAGGAAGGGATTAAGGCAGGGTGAAGTCCCAGATTGGGAGGAAGGCCGGCAGACATTGCGTTCGGGGCTTGTAACGAGGGTGGCGCCATTTGAGGCATGTTCATTTGATTGGCCATCATCATTTGCATCATGAGCGCCTGCAGTTCAGGGCTGGCCAAGCCCTGTGGAGGGCCCATCGCGTTACCCATGGCGCCAGCCATCTGCTGCGCCTGCATCATTTCCATTTGGAATCGTTGCATATCAGTAGGCTGTTGAGTCGGCATAAAAGAGAGGCCGCTGGCGGCGGCGGCTGCTGCCATTCGCTGGTCCATGAACGGCATCATTGGTATGCGGCCAGCAGCTGCTAGTTGACGCTGCATCTCCAGTTTCATCATCTGCAGAGGAAAAGTTTAAAAACAAGACGCAAGCATAAACTTAAACAAAGGGATCACGAATAAGTGTGTGTCTGTTCAAGCCCTACGAGATCGGAAAACTCACATGCTGTTGTTGAGCTGCAGCATGTTGCTGGGCTTCCATCAGTTGTGCTTGCTGCATTTGCTGCATCATTGCTACTGTCATCGGATCCATACCAGAAAACATATGCATCTGTCCGTTCATGGCTGCCATACGCGACAAATCAGCAAGGCCTCCAGGGATCACTCCATTGAAGTCAGGCTAAAAGACAAAGTTACCTATTTTATACACAAAGCATCGTAATCCCGTACCTTTTTCGGTTGAGTTGGTGTGTGCGGCTGCTGTTGAGCAGCGGCAGCCGCAACAGCGGCAGCCTTTTCCTTCTTCTCGCGTTTTCGTTTCGCCCATTCACAATCGCTTGGCATACGATATGACAAATCAGTTCTCGCACACATCTGGCCGCAAGGCCGCACGATTGACTGCACAAATATCGCATTTTTTGATGTGCACGCCTCCTGAAATATGGATTTCGTAGCGTATGCTGATAATAGCAGAACATTAGACGTAATGCGCAAAAAAGAACAAGAAAAAAGAGGCCATAAATGCGGTACCTGGTCGCCATGTTTCCAAGTGTTGTCATCACTGATAACATTTGCCACATTCTCATCGTTCTCATCCGAATCTATGTCATCGAATAACTTCTCCTCTTTCTTGGGTTCCTCCGCTCCAGTATTCTCAGGTTTAATCTCCTCAACCATTTTCGCAACTTGCTCTAATTTCTCTAGCGGTTTTCCGGACTCCAACTCTTTCTTCAACTCCGAAGTTGCCTGATAATACACGAGTTATGCCGTATTCAATCATAGCTAGCAGTGCACATTTTATTTTCTTACAAGCAACGAACATGTCGTATAATTACCTCGTTGTTGACAGTCGGTTGCGGCGGTTCTTCATGAACATTTGCGTCCAGCGGATTTGTTTGCTCGACAACATCCTCTTCTTTCTTGACATTTGTTGCCGGTGCTGGTTTTTCCTCGGCGGGTGCCTCCTCTTTTCCACTACTACTGTCTTCATCAACATCTTCCTTGAATAAATAACAAGAATTAAACCTCTAGTCATCTGCGACGAAAGTCATATGACCATGAAAACCAACCCTCTTCTTCTTCGAGTTGTTGTTGTTGGGAAGACCATTGTGATGATGCAGATGATTCGCGCGTTTCCTCTTTCCATTCTTTGTTTTGCTCACTGGCACTTTGTCGAGGTCGAATTCATGCACGGATGCCGCCTGGCTCGGGCTGCGACGCTCTTCGCCCATTGAAGGAGTCCTAAAAACGGCGACAATGTGACAGCATAGCGATGAAATGTTTGATTTCCACCTGTACGACTGAAAAAAAAGCGATAACAGCACTTTACGACGCTAAAAACCGGCTACGCTTACGAAGTGTTTCGCTGCTGTTTTGGCTGTTTCTAACGCAGATCATTATAGAACCGATTACAAGCGACTCCATTTTCGAGCAAGGTAAACTCATAGAACATATGGCTTGGTAAGTGTCCAAAACTTACTGCAAACAAGACTGGGAGAAAAAATTGTACAAACAATCTATTTACGGTTGCTCGGTTTCAGTATGAAATCCGGTAGATAACAAGTCCATGATTTAGGTAGAATATATGCGAGATCAATGGACGTGAGCAAATCATTCATACAAGAATTAAGTAAAATTCTAACGCAAACAAACCTTCGTCGTTCCTTCTTCCCAGCTCTAGTTCTCACTCCACTGTCCTCATCGATATCTCCGCTGGATGGGCTGCGTTTGAAGAGACACGGAGGCACAGTTGACGGCCGATCGACGGGACGTAGTTGACCGTATTTCTTATAGAAAAGCCGACAATCAGTGCATAGCAGCAGACCATCTCTTCCTGCATGATGCCAGTCGCGACTCTCTGGAAAGACAAATCTAGTTCAACATATAATAAAACAGCCATAAGCCACTTACTGGAGCCATAGCAATGATGGCAGGCATATTGCGATGCTTTTTCAGATTCCAATCCCTCCATTTCGCCCTCGCTTGCCGATGCATAATCCAGCAATTCAGTAGAAGCAGGTCGTGACGTCTTAAAGTTCAATTAGTAGCTACAAATACGTATAGAAACATAATGGATGACTACCTTGCTCTGTGAATTTTTTGAATTTCTCTTTATGCATGCTACTTGATTTCGCTGTCGTGAAAGTGGTTTCGGCTTCACGGCATCAGAAGTTTTCTTCCATAGATAATAGAAACCAACCAGTTGATCCTGAAAATGTGCACATATTTTTGACAAAAAAAGGCAACAACTATTATACATGCAAATCTATGTGTAAGAAATTAGAAACCAAGGAAACTTTAGAAAGGAACTCTTACCCGACTATGAAGAGGCAGCAATTCACGACTAATTCGCACAAAGTTTTTGCCGATAGTCTTTATTCCCTTGCAAAACTTCTTCGTATCCTCAACGGTCATGAAGTTCGCATCCGCGGAGAGCAATTTATCATTTGCATTCATTTCCTTGAGTGCCTCATCGAATTTGTATCCGCAGCGATGCAACGTGGTGAGAGCGTCGTCAAAAAGCAGATCGCTCACCTGGAAAAAGCTAATCTCGTAACTCGTACATCATTATCCCCGTTTATGACTGCCGTGCGGAAACGAGTGCACCTGCTTTCTGTGCAGCCATAAACGACGGGTATTACGTATGCGGCGGCTCTCTTACTATGCATTACATACACACAACGAGCAGAATTCGGAAGCAGAGTAGTGTAAGCCTTACTCGAGAATGCTTTTCAGTGTCCAACATTCTTGTCTCCATCATAGCAAACATACGAAAACTTCGTGCCAATTTGATGTATTTGTCCTCGGTACCGGGATCAATCATACCGGGCCTGTACAATAGCTCATCACGATCGGGTTCATCTGCCACCGAACAGGTAGCCTCGGCAGGCAATCTCGCCTAAAAATAATGAGATAAATGGAAAACCGCAGAAGATGTCCTGCAGAATATTCGCTAATTTGAGCTTTACCATAGAATGTGATTCATGTACATTTATATAACAAGAAATTCAGAAGTGATAGGGAAACACTAGATGTTAGCAACCAAACATTGGCTGCTATATAGAAATTACGTAAAGAGCAACAACAAAAGAGTGTTCGGAGTTTTTCCATAAAGGCTGCTGACATTGAAAGCAGCGCAAGAAGAGCGCTGCGGATGCGGAAAATACGAGAAATGATGTATTAATTACTACTAAGTCATCGCGCACGATCGATAGGCAGGAAAATTCTATTGTTCAGAATAAATACTTCGCCATGAGTGAAACTAAAAATCTTCTGGAGAGATCAAAAAACAATACGAAAGATATCTACGTTACTGCAGAACTCATGAGAGTTCCCAGAAACTATTTTGGAGCAAATTATGCAGTCTTTGGTTTTTTCATGCAGTTATAAGGATTCATGGTTCATTTGAAAGCTTGTCCTGCAGAAAATCACGATCTTCATCACGTGCAAAGGTCAACAACGCAAACTCCTCTCATCCACTCATCGTAAGCGAGAAGGAACAACAGCAACGATCGATTTCTAACAACAGGCAGCGAAACGAAGACGAAAGCGCTTGCTCATTGACGAGAAAAGTGGAAAATAAAGCCAACCAGTGTAAAAAAAGATACATGTGCTATTACAAAACCTCTAAAGTGAATCGTTTTTGCAACAATCACTGAAATGGGATCAACCCAAAAACGGTAGATACTACATTGGTACTTCAGTTCGATGAAACAGACAAAAAAGGTGCTCGGATAAGTCTTCTTAAAAGAAGAAGTATAGCACAGTTTGCATCAAAATGCTTGAATAAGTGGAGAGGTTTTGAAAAATGACCAGATTACGAATATTTATCATGCGATAGACAAAAATACTGCCAAAAAATTCAAAGAAAAGGAAAACGATCAAAAGAACTGAATTAGAAGTTTCATAGACACACCTGATACGAGGCACCAACACGTATTTCTCCTTGAACAGACGCCAGCCTTGATGATTCTTGATTGTATGATAGACAAGAGAAGAAGGTATTCTCCTTTGTAAGATCGCACTCTCCAAGACTTCGAATATCTTTTACGAATGCAATTTCACACTTGCCCCTGAAATGAACAAATCAAATCATGGATAAACGAAAGATATGAGGAGGAATGAGTGAAGCACAGGGTCAGAGGTTGTAAGCGGTGGGCTGCCTGGTGTGTTTTCGACGGCGGCCGATCAATACGAGCCAGACATCTCTAGTGGAAAACCACGCCCCGTCAATGAATAGCGACTGAGGGAGTTGTGAGGGACATTCCGGGGGAGGGGGGGGGGGAGGGGGGAGAGCAGAGACGTCAGCAGCGTGAGCAGCAGCAGCACATGCAAACTCTCTCGATTCCGCTTAGTACGCCAGCGCTATTATATGTTTCAAAAGGACAATCTCCACCAAAAATAGAACTGGTGCAAGCCGATAGTCACAGATTGTACATGTAATCGAAAGAACGGTATATAATAACGCAAGACTAGTCATAAAACACACCACTTCAACAAGGCACAAAAGCTCTCGATGTTGCCATTTAAGTATACCATCACATTTGCATACAATTTGGTATACAAAAGCGTTGAAAATCGAACCCTACTATTTCATTTTTGCGCACAAATTAAGAGCCAAAATTGCGAAAATGTGAATGAACAGTACTCTAAGAGGAGAGTAACATTCGGTGTTAATACAAGTGTTGTTCAAATATTCAGTCAATGGAATATGAAACTTCCATCACATTATCATTTTGCATGGATACATTGAAAGAAGTGACGGCACAAAGTGTCTCTTAATACGTCTCATCTCCGTAGCTTGAATGGAGCAAAAATATTATCATTCGTTCTGTAACTAAGGCAATCGAAACCGCTTTGCACACATTATCAAAACAGGACCTTGTTCTTTCTTGTTTCCAAATAGCAACTAATTCTAAATTAGACAGATCACAACTGAAACTTTGTTTACCACACAATGAGGCTTCTTTTGACAGTGTGTGCAAAGCGGTTTCGAGTCCCTTCACAAAATAAATGATAATATCAGTGCATCACCGCATTACCAAGGAGACGGAGGAGTTGAATCTAGTAAACCTTAATATGGGTTCTATTCGCTTATACAAAAAAAAATTTCGGCTGCTTTGACGGACACAAAGAAAATGTGCAAACAAATGATTGACAAATTGGTGACAAAAATAGGATTTATCATAGAAAGATGGTCTCAGATACTGTAAAAATTGTACGAGATAAATTATTAAAAGAAGTAGACTCTCGGGTCAAACAAAGAGAATGACTAAATGTGTATGACTGATTCAGTGCGAAAAGAAAATGCATCAACGATTATTTGTAGAAGAATTGTGACGCCCAGAAACTAGCACTTACTGAGTCATATCGAGAAGGACAAAGTCTATTGCAAACTTGAGACAGGCATTTAACTGATGATATAGGAAATGTATATAATCCCATACTACTGCTTGGTAATGATGTTCGCCGCGTTTGAGCACGTCCCCACAGATAATTTGTCGTAGGATAACGGAAATTCGGGCGAAATGTGATTACGAGCGCCGCTTCGCAACGTGATTATCTACTTTGTCAAGTGCGAATGAAATATGCAGAGACAGATGATGGATAAATGGAATAAGAAAAACTCTGAAACTGATAAAAACATCTTCTAGAATTTCAAAGAAAAACTTGTAATTTCTCAGCAATTCACATGCATTCAAATGCGTCAGTACGACTCCGGTCGCATGCTCAACTGGTCTACGCATTTACAACCATGTATAAGACATAAAGTTATAAGATACAATGGTTGCAGAGCTTTGCACCAGATGTTCGATATAGTTGCGGCAACGCGGTAGTCAACGCAACCCATATTTATGCAGCATTTATGATTCGCAATTAAGAAACTTGAAAGGCGACAAAAGAAGTTACCAAGTAAGTCGATACAAATACTCTCTTCTTCAAATTAATGAAATCGACATATACTCATTTCTCAGGCAAATTGACTGCGAATCCTTTCAAACGCATTGGCATTCCGAAAATAGATTTTCGAAAAAATCACAACTTCATCTTAGTTGGATGATGTGGGCGCCGTATATGTGAGTCAGTTTGTCATGCATAGACCAACTCTATACGATGCCTCTCTTTTTGAAGAGCGTCAAGGGATATGCGCGCCCATTATCTTCAAACACTCACCACTAATAGATATGGGACGCAAAAACAGCGTTCGAATGCGCGTAAAGGGCAGCTCATGAGTGGAATGGGAGAAGGAGAAAAAGTGGAGAGAGCGCTCGCATAACAACGACGCCATCTCGTCAGAGAACGAGCAAAAATGGAATGATGAAAGCTTAGCGATACCACAGGAAAAGCAGCTTTAAAAGATAGAAGAGACACACGGAAAATACTGTAAAACCTCACCTTAGGCTAGCAATGGAATGAAATGTGGTTGTGTCAGAGGTGAACAGCTCTCGAGAGAGTGCTTCTGGGCTAGGTTCCTCTGCAAAATCCATTTCCATTCGCTCTTGAGCAATGAGACTGAGGGAAATTTCCGGCACATCTTCTGGTCGATAAAATCGTGATATTTTCACCGATAGCATGTCCCTTTTTGTCTGAAACAAGACAGTAAGACAAAGATATAGTCAGACAAAAAAGCTGCAAAAGAGATGATTCGACAATTATCCTCGATTTAACACGTTGACAACAACGCGTATTTTCAGCTGTCTGTCTTGTGGGACAATGCCTTCCACGACAAAGTTGAAGATTTTCAGCTAAAATTAAGCAGATCGTCGTCTACAGTAAATCTTCGGTAATTTTAAGGAGCAGAAAAGAAATGCGGTAGTAACCGGTAGAATCAGAGCGTAGGGGAACCTCTAAAACGAATTTACCTTAAGATTGTACTCATTTTGACAAATTTTAAGCCATGACCCACCATGTGGGTCACATTGTCCCACGTGGCAGTCATTGCGTGACCCACCATGTGGGTCACGCTGTCGTCAATGTGTTAAATGTCTCGAAAATGAAAACCTCTTACTAACAAAAACGCTACCGCATAACCAAATACATATAATCTGCCATTTTTTGAAGATACTTGGTGTACTCTTCAATTTTTTAATCGAAACAAAACGCGAGTATCTCTTCTAAGTGACAAGTCCCCAATTTCGTCGCGCGTTCAAGCGTCTTCAGCGGCTGCGCGCTTGTGACTCGAATCCAGTTTCTACGTTCATCGTTACATGTGGTTTTCGATTTCACTATACATATCGATTTAATGTCACACATCGTAGTGGACATAATAGTATCGAGTTTGTCGCGTATGGGACTAAACGGGACGCAAAAGAACGGCGGGCATGCGGTTGCTAATTGCATGGCGCGCCATTTGGTACGTCAAACGACAATGACATTCTGTAATCGCGATTTCGCCCTAGCCAGGGAAGCGAGTCACACGTAGTTATTGTCCACTTCTGTGGACAATTTATAAAACAAAACTTCTTTCGTTATTTCATCTATGACAGTAATTATGAACTCCAAAATCTACGAACATGCGACTTTGATACAAACGGCAATTTTCGATTCATCCTAGGCAGAGACTCAATAACTGATGAGACAAATATAGCAAAAGTGCGATGACAAAGCGTAGAGAACAAACACAACAGAAACTTCCTTTTTCACTTCAAAAGATGAAGTTACGCTAGGATTACTTGCCACACAAAAAAGTGTAAACTTATGTACTTGTCCATAACCTACTTCATTCAATGCAGTTTGAAAAGAGAGCTGTATGAATTAGAAAATGATAATGAAACTCAAACATAAGTTCTCTTCCAGAAAGAATGGACTGTTGCCACAAAATTCGAACAGCCAAGGTAAAATGGAAGGCAGATGCAACATTGATAAAAATAATGCAAAGAGCAGGAATAGAAGCGAACGCCCTAAACATGAGTCTCCCAAGTGCAGAAGCAGATTCCCCTAAACCGGTGAGCGATGTATAAGTAGTATAGCAGACAAGTCCACTATGTTGATCTACATACAGACCACTTTTGCAAAACTGTGGTGACTATCTGCAGTCCTTTTGCTACCATTAAGTGAAGTAAGCATAATTAGTGTGCCGTTTGCAGGCGAAAACCAAGTTCAGTGGGCTTCGCTCATAATTCATCCCAGCTATTTAAACGAGAAGAGGATCAAAAAACTCACCATTTTGAACAAGGTTATTGATCCAACTATATATGGATCGGCAGATGTTGTCTCAATGTAAACATTATCACCCGGTTTGTAAATAATACCATCATGAGCTTCGAAACAACAAATTTCGCCATCTGATCTTTTGCGGTAAGCCTAAAACATTTATGTTAATGTGTTCTTGTCGCAGACTTTAACGAGATGTTCCAAAGAAGAGTTCAAATACCTTGCCGCGGCGACTACGATCCGAGCGACCCGGGATACTGTAGTATAATGGCTCAACTTCCCAAAGGCCGGCTTGAGCACACTCGTCTGGACTTCGACTGTGCTCCCCGTCTTCGGTCATCTGCAAAGAATTTAACTTTTAGAAACAATATGTTCCAAAACATGCGCCGCGTATGATTCATAGGAATGAATAAGTACATGCACTTTCAGATGAATGAACAAAAAAGTGAGTAAATATTATAATTTTTTGCCAGTATAAGTTCCACAGGTGAGATAATGTGTTAGCGGCCAGTTTATAGTCAAAGGTTCAAATATACGCTTCCACCTATATATGTACATAATATCACAGTCGTAAAGTTCCTGCACATGTGTCATCAGATGGCATTAGCGAACACTCTTCACGCCCACAGTGAAAGGGCAATCTTTCTTCGATGAGCGCGACAGCTGCTTGATACTCAACATTGCATGCACATTTTACATCAAATGAGCTAGTCATACTCGTCGAATGTTTTTAGCATTCATACGGAAGCAAAAAACATAATGGAGAATGATGAAGTAAAAAGCTTGTAACAATAAACATAAGTAGCTGCCTTTTGGGGTCCTTTGATGCAACATCACAAATTATTGGAATACTGGTAAAGAGCACATGCGCCTCATTTGCACTTTTTTGTGTTTTCCCGTAACTTTTTGAAGACCTGCTATTATTTTTATCATTAAGCGCACCACACTTGAAGCAAATGAGGAGTAAACGCTTCCTGTATATCACATGTGTGATCTTTTTCGCAGCTGTTTGAACTTACAGTCCAAAAAATCTGAATACATCCCACCAAAGTTATTAACATATCATGTCAAGCTAAAGCTTCAGTTAGAATGAACAAAAAAGTTCCTCAAATGAGGGAAGCATCTGTGCGTCACTAACAACTAACTGCAACAAGAAAAACTTTGAAAAATAGGCTTATGAGGACGGCATCCAATAATAATCGAAAATGGAAAACGACTAACATCATCAGGTGTAAAATTGGTTGGAGCACTTCGGATACTCAAAAATAGCACAAAGACAAGAAGTCAATGAGATCAAACTCATTTACGATCAGTTCCAAAAACAGTGGAAAGGACAATCCACTATGAATTAACGATCTTGCATGCTTACGTAACAAGCAAAAACATGGCCGAGCAAAAAGATCCATTGCGAAAGAAAGCGTGAACATTTGGAATCAGTTTTTGTGTGATTAGGTATTCGCGCAAAAACAGGCACGGAGTTTAGCACAACCATCGCAGCGCACAAAGCACTCAAAGGTCATCGCAGGGCATCACTGCTGACCGCGGTCGATCTTGACTGGTCGCATTCATGCCGACCTATCATAAAGACGATGAAATCACTTAAATGTAATGAAACAGGATCGGCGCAGAACTTCACAATCAAAAACCCAACTATTAAGAATTAGGGGCCACAAAAAACTCAAACTGATAAGGCGCTTGATGCAGCTCCATCTCTGACGCAGATTGTGTCGAAAAAAAAACAAACAATAATATTCTTAATTCTGATTGAACGCCAATTTCCGACGTACCACATACAATGTTGAACCGATTAAATAACACACACATTCTGTAAGAGGCAAACTTGATTTTTTGAGACCCATCAAACCGAAGAAAAAATTAAAATTCAAGAGGCGCTTAAAACAAGCGGTGCGCTAGGTGGCACAACTATTGAACGTTTGCTAGTGTCAGATCTTAAACAACTCGATTAGTTTGAGAATCTGGTGGAAACTTTACAAAAACTAAATAAAAAATAAAAGAATAAAAAACCAAAAAGATCAAGCGAGTGACCTCTGGATGGCAATGATAAAACCCTAAACTTGTGAAAGGTCACAAAGAAAATGACCCCCAAAATTTGAAGAAGCTTTCAAGAGATACAGTCGAGTAGATTTAGCGGTAAATATAGTGTGCTTGCACAGAAGGTGAAATGCGGTGAAATTTGCGCGTGAACAAGTAGCCACGTCAGTACCGCGGGTATCTTGCGCGCGCAATTGGCCGGCGCCACAGTCGAAACTATATCTTCACGCGCCAATTTTACCGCATTTCACCTTTTGTGCAAGCACACTATATTTACCCCTAAATCTACTCGACTGTACATGAATGTATAAGTAGTACGTACTCGCGTCAGAGACAATTAATTCTATTAAACAAATATACTTTTTCAAAAAATACTCAGAGAATTTATTTTGTTTTCTTGTCTGGACATATATTGCATGTTCGTAACGCTGAACGATATGATAAACTGCTAGAACGCCCAGAGATTCCAAAGAGGCAACAAAAAAGAACAACACATTAAAAACGGGCAAAAAAAGCGCACTGCATATTGGACTTGACAGTCACACAGTGAGTACTCCAGCAATGATAGAGTCTAAGCGGAAATAATGAAGAACATCGGCATTAGGATGAGAGCAAACACATTCACAGAGGCAGGCAAGCAATGAAAGAGGACGCAGCACGGATACGCCACCACCAACACAGAGCGACCGCCTTCCAGAGCACACAAACGCAAACAAGCGATTAACCCTTGTTCTTGAATTTTTGGACTAGTAACGCTCGCGCGTTCCATAACAACGTGCTTCGCGATGAGGTAAAGGATAGAAAAACGTACAATGGGATAATTATGATGATGAATGAGGGCGTTGTGTTCTCAGAATAGGAGTGCATCGAAAGTGCACAACTTCTGAAGTACAGTATCGGTTTCCACCTAGCATGCTTGTCTGCACATGTTTGATGTGGCACTTGTCCTGTTATCGCATGTTCTTTCATGACGCAACATATCAACACGTAAATGTCGGCTACGGCGACCGTGGTGCAACTGCTTTGCTGCGCTCGGATTAGAGGCCACTTACAGCGAACCAATTCTGATCGGACCAAGGAATATTGTCCGAAAATAGACACTCACCAAGCGACATGCGATATTTTGGGCAGACAATTGCACAGACATTGATGTCATGTCAACTGCCGCTACTTATTTGTATTATTCACGCTCAACACGTCTCAACGCAAATATTCGCTCTTTCTCGCTCTGCAGAGCAATCATTCAAGTTCTTATAACGCAGTTGGCGAAGCAGGCAATGCCTTATAGGAAGTGTATGGAGTGACTTTGCTAACATACAGATCCACTTAAAGTTCAGTGGACTACTTTAAGCTGAAAGTTATAGAAAGAGTCAATCATCAACACCAAATCGATGCAAAAAATGAATCTTTGAACCAAAGCTGAGAAAGCTCTATTCTTAGGAATTCCTCTTGTTATAAATTCTCAAAACATGTGGAATTTTATCAAAAAAGTTAATGGAGCTAAAATGGATTCGTACTATGATGTGATAGTTTCTACATAGCCATAAACAAATGCGAACAACTTTTCAATCCCTGTTCCAAAATATGAGAGAATTTCGGAAAACAATGAACTAATGCGCCTGAAAATGGCCCCGGCATCTCATGCATCTGTTGTAAAGCGATTTCTCTCAAATAACTAGCAAAAACACAACATTAACGATTCATTCAGACATAATTGATAGTACGCAGTAGCGGTTCATCGAGCGCAGAGGACAAACGCACAAAAACAGATTAGCGTTGTACACTATTTATAATCGAGTCAACAAAGTAGCTGTTAGTTTTGATGTTGAATGAATAACATACAGCAAAAGTTCGGGAAGGTCTGCCTGATACACTTATAAACTGATGGACCTAACTGATACTGCGATGCCGGCACTATATGCGTTTGAAAAATACCCTTGGAGTTCACATGAAGCGTTTGAATTAGTAGAAGAAAGAAATCAATCAATCAAAATTAGAAAGAATCGAAGGCAAACATTCAAATTTATTTTTGAAAAGGCAATATAAAGGAAGTTGATATGGTTGAAACTGTGGCCATGTCCATTTTTTACGAGCAAAACTTGTCGGAACGCAAATACACATACCATAGTCCAAAATCACTGACTTCAATTTCAAGTTAGATTTCTGCGCTTCTACCACCTTTGGTCGTTCGTCAATGAATGCATTTGATGACATCTGAGTTCTTCATGTCGAAAAACCTTAACCCGCTAGAAAAGAGGATACGGTAGGCAGTTGATGTGGAAATAACGCAGGAACGCGCGGCTACCCAGAAAATGGCGCTAATCTGCGTTGTGTGAAGAGCGGTGAAGAGCAGGCAGAAGACGGAGTAGGAGGAGGAAAGGCGTGAACGCGGTGTTCTCGAGAGGACATATGGCCGCTTGGCGCTGGTGCACGGTGGGTGTATGTGTGTGTGTCTCTGTGTATGTGGACACACAAGTGGATTGCCGCTTGCGCGCGACCCGACAGCTCAATTGAGATCATCCCAGACGACAGGAGCGACGATAGCCCCAGATGGGACAGTTCACCAGCAAAACAACGATAGGATCGCCAAGTCCTACTAAGCGTGGCATCCCAAAAATTTAGGACCGCGACTGGCAGCACGGCGCAATGCAACGACTAAACGAACACTTAGCACCTGTGACACAACACGACTCGTCCGCCTGGCGCGATTGCGCTCGATCGCTTCGCCAGCGAAAGAGAAAACGCCCGCTCGTGCCGAGCCTTCAGTTTTCCAGCAATCACAAGCGAACCTAGCCGCCAACCCAGAAACTCGTTCTCTGACGTTCGGTAACTAAACCCCGAAATTGGCACAACCAACTAATCTCTTAGTAGCCACTTTAGTCGGCGTCTCATGGGAAACATCGTGAACCAAGTGCAAACATGCAATTGATGGCGAGATTTACTGCTCTCATGAGAACACAATCCTGCCGTTATTCACCGCAAAATCAAAGTAATGGAGAAACAATCGAGGGGTTTAATTGGACATTACCAATTCCAAATGGCATCATTTCTCCCCAGTGAAATTCTGGCCCTCTATATATCTTTGAGTTTAGAAAAGAATTTGCAGAACGCAAAAGCTAGAATTTCGATTGTGTAAACACGAAGCACATAGAGTACAACAGAAAGATGCAAAGCGCACAACAAAAACTCCAAAAGATATCTGAATATTTGATATCATGGAACCAATTGTAAGGAATTTGGAAACGCTAGCACATCCTGTCTAACAAGCTTGAACTTGTTCATCTTTAGTCAAAGTAGTGAATCATGCAAAGCCGACCACAAGTGCAAACTTATCAAACATACGTCCGCAAAGCGCTCTCGAGTTTTTCAGTCTCAGAATAGCAAATAAGCAACCGAGATTATGCATCAATCAAATTAGAATAAGCACAAGTCCCACATGTGGAAGTTGTGAGCGCGCAGGCCGTAAAAATAGTTGTTGTTCAAGGACAGATCACGAGAAGCAAGTAAAAATCACTGCTCCAGAAGTGAAGAGGATTGAGACGAAGAGTGAGTAGCGTGAGTGGGATGTTCTCTCCAAAATTAATGAGAATATGGGGAAATCAAAACGCGATAATAGTGATTTATGGAAAACGGGAACACGGTGCGTCTCTCCATGACTAATGTGATGAACGATGAAACGTTCTCTACCTGCATCGCGGCGGTGTTCACGAAATCGAAATCACGACGGCATTATCTTTTGTAAGTGACCCGCGTGTTTTCGAGGGTTTGTGTGATAGCGCAGAGATTTGCGGGAGTCGCTCGGTGACCAACTCGCTCTTTTTTGGCCACCAGAGGGCGCTAGATCGGCGATGTAATGCGATAGCGTGAAGCCGATTAAAGATATCCTCGTTGTTACCGCGAAGGGGAAGCGCTATAGCTCGGAGTGCAACTCAGAGGGTCTGTAAACGAGGAAATTGAAGCGATGAGATGAGGATATCCTGACAGGATAGCGTGAGCATTGGAAGATGTAGGTAAAGAGCTAATCTGCTGAACAGATGCGACGTTCGGCCGCGGTCGAGCAGCTGATTAGCGCGATTTCAGCAGTTTTCGCTCATTTGAGAGGATGTAAAGGGAAAGATCTCGGGAGTTACGAGACCTATATGACGCGCTCTGTCGGACGGGGGGAGGACGGGCCCCGGAACATCACGCTGTGGGCAGAGGGCGCAGGCATAGCGCGCATACAATGCACCCGAAGAATAGCAACCCGACTCGGAAGACGTCATGACCCCTGAAAACCCCCGCCGCCGCTCCGGAAGAACCCGCGACCGGCGCGAGGTGGCGCAATCTGCATAGTTCTTTGAATCTGACAAACTCCCCTGCTTTTTAGTATTTGTAGAGCGAATTCGCGCTTGCAATATCATCCCCGCTTCAAAACGCGCACAATGAGTTGTTCATGGCCAAACATACTGCAAGTGACAACAATTGTGGGCTTTTTATACAAGCATAGCCAGCCTGCAATCACTTCGCTCATAAAAGTTTATGTGCCAAAAACATCCAGGAAGAGGATCTACGAAAACATTAAGAAGACAGCAATAATAAAGTAAAAGCTGTGATAGTTTGTTCTAGGATATTACATGAAATGTGTTGATTCGACAATATTATCGGTACAGGTGCGAGTGATTCACAAAAGTGCACATTTCTATTATTATGTCATAACTGCTGCAAAACAGTGAGCTTCGAAAGTTCGACAAGTTGAGAGCAAGCGCTGAATATACTGCCACTGTCTGGGAGTAATGATTGAAAGAACATTCGCACTCTTCGCTTTCTATCAACACACTTCCAGAAGTAGATGTTGATCATAAAAAGGAGAGTGTAACGTGCAAAAGTGATGAACGTAAAAGCGAGGCGCAAAACATGACTGCCGAGCGGCACCCCGACTCGACTTGCCCCCCCCCCCCCGCCTCACACTTACCGACCACATCGCCGATGCCAAACACACACAATGACGACGGACAACACGTGGAGAAACTCGAGGAAAAAGTGTGTGGCGAGCAACTCGAAACTTTGACGCATACTATCCGTCACGAAACCACTGTGACGATTTATGAGCGCAAAGCGCAAAGGGCTCATTCGGCGCAGCGAAACGTTGATGCTTTGATTGAAGATGTGTTTGGGGTAGATTTCAAATGGGAAGCAGTGATTGAATTTAATTTGCACTTGTCAAGTAATTTGTCACTTGTCCTCACACTGCGGAAAATAGAAAAAAGCGAGCAAAAAGTTATGAGGCTATTGAGTTTTACTGACAATGCGAAAGCAATCGAAGAGCTGTAGAAATTGCCGCTTTTTGATATAATCTCTTCAGCAGATTAGAGTATTATACCAAGTAAGGCTTGCAACAATAATTGACGAACAGAAACAAGCTGTGTAATCACCTCAGTCTGCAAATACTGGTGCTAGTTTGTCAATCTACCTGCAACGGATGTCACTAGCATTCTTCATTATTCGCTATGACCGAACCCTATGTTTAGCCCTCCACGTCAACTTGCTTGACTAACTCAAAAGGACAGGTTTTCGAGTTTTTGCGGACGAACATGACAAAGTGCGACATTTCACCACTTATAGTGATAATTAACAGCATTATGGCTTCTTAGATGCGAGTCGAGGTCGAATGGAACGAGCGCTCAGCTCGAACAACAAGGTCAATAGGCTGTCTCAACAGCGCTCTCGCAACCCACTCCAGCCAATCGATACTCATCAAATACACTTTTACCAAATAAGAGCTAATAGCTGGGGGATCGCATGGTGAATGATCCGCTAATGTTCCATCACATGATGCGATGAAACGAATCTGGCGTTCTGAGATGGTTTTGAGATGCCACTGAGACACGCTGTGGTGGATAAAAAGGCGCAAAGTTCACAAAGCGTGCAGACAATGCTTTGCCTTTCTCAAAGGACTACGATGTCTAAAAGTCTACATAACTTGTAAGGAGTACAGATGATGAGGCGGGAAGGGGTAATTGAGGTACAATGCACCCGCCCGGCCGGGATAAGGGATCGCGAAGGCCCCGCCCAGCGTTCCGCAAGCGAAGCATGCATAAACAGCAGCGAAATCGGGAAATTGATATCCCGCATCAGCAGTGCAACTGGCGGCTATTTGGGAATGGATTAAGGCGTGCT